CACTTGTTGTTTGTTGATTTGTTGATGATAGCCATTCTGACAGGTGTGAGATGATACCGCATTGTCGTTTTGATTTGCATCTCTCGTATAATTAGTGACTTGGAGCATGTTTTCATATGTCTTTCGGCCTTCTGTATGACCTCTTTCGAAAAGTGTCTATCTAGGTCCATTGCCCATTTTTTGATTGGATTGTTTATCTTTCTATTGTTAAGTTGCATGAGTTCCCTGTAAATGTTGGAGATTAAACCCTTATCGGTGATATCATTTGCAAATATGTTCTCCCATGCAGTGGGTCTTCTTGTTGTTTTGTTAATGGTTTCCTTTGCTGTGCAAAAGCTTGTTATTTTGATGTAGTCCCATTTGTTTATTTTCTCTTTAGATTTAATTGCCCTAGGAGCAGTATCAGAGAAGAAATTTCTTCGGCATATGTTTGCGATTTCGCTGCCTGTGGATTCCTCTAGTATTTTTATGGTTTCCCGTTTTACGTTTAAGTCTTTTATCCATTTTGAGTTTATTTTTTTGTATGGTGCGAGTTGGTGGTCTAGTTTCATCCTTTTGCATGTATCTGTCCAATTTTCCCAACACCATTTATTGAAGAGACTGTCTGGACTCCATTGTATGCTCTTGCCTCCTTTGTCGAATATTAATTGGGCATAGTGTTTTGGGTCTATTTCTGGGTTCTCTATTCTATTCCATTGATCTATATGTCTGTTCTTGTGCCAGTACCAAGGTGTTTTAAGTACAGTGGCTTTGTAATAGAGTTTGATATCTGGTATTGAGATCCCACCGACTTTGTTCTTCTTTCTCAGGATTGCTGCAGCTATTAGATGTCTTTTTTTATTCTAGATGAATTTTTGGAACGTTTGTTCTAGATCTGTGAAATATGCAGTTGATATCTTAATGGGGATTGCATTGAATATGCAGAGTGCTTTGGGCAGCATAGACATTTTAATGATTTTGATTCTACCAATCCATGAACACGGTATATGTTTCCATTTGTTTATATCTTCTTCTATCTCTTTTTTTCAACTTCTTGTAGTTTTCGGAGTACAGGTCTTTTACCTCGTTAGTTAAGTTTACTCCTAGGTATCCTAATTTTTGTTGTTGCAATGGTAGATAAGATTTTTTGTTTGTTTGTTTGTTTCTCTTTCTGTGCGTTCATTATTGGTGTATAAAAAAAACCATAGATGTCTGAGTGTTAATTTTGTATCCTGCTACATTTCTGAATGCATTCATTAAATTTAGTAGTTTTTTGATGGAATAATGACCGTTTTACTTCTTCTTTTCCAATTATGATGCCTTTAATTTTTTCTTCTTTTCTGACAGCTGTGGCTAGCACTTCCAGTTTTATATCAAACAGGAGTAGTGAAAGTGGACATCCCTGTCTTGTCCTGTTCTTAGGGAAAATGGTTGTAGTTTTTGCTGATTGACTCTGATATTGGCTGTAGGTTTGTCATATAAGGCTTTTATTATGTTGAGGTATGATCCTTGGGCTCCCACTTTGCTGAGAGTTTTTATCAAGAAAGTTTGTCAGATTATGTCAAATGCTTTTTCTGCATCAATTGATATGATTATATGATATTTGTCTTTCAATATGTTTATATTTTGTATCATATTTATTGATTTGCAGATATTGTACCAACCGTTCATCCCAAGAATAAATCCCACTTGGTCATGGTGTATGATCTTTCTAATGTATTGCTGGATCCGATTTTCCAGAATTTTCTTGAGGCTTTAAGGATTGATGGGTGTCACTATGACTACAGTGGGAGAGCTGCAGTGCAGGAGACACCCCTATGGAGCATGACCTGTATCAGTGGGGCTTTGGTGGTCAGTGAGTCTGCCCCTTGAGTGTGTCGCTTATGGATGTGAAGAGTTGTAAGGTGGTATGGTATGACACTGATCACTGGGTACACTGGCTCTTGGGTCTCGTGGGAGGTGTAAAGTCAGCCTCTTCCTGGAGCCACCGAGCAGCATCTACAGAGAGATCTGCAGATTCTCCTCTTTGTATGGAGTTTGGAAGTGCCCTGATGAGGCCCAGCTGTGAAGCAAGGAAGGCTAGTGCTTGTGCCAGGTATAGGCCTTTTATTGATAGGTTTGGGGCTCCCTGACCCAACTGCAACTTCTTTGACAGGTCTTAGCCTGAGCAAGGACAGGCAATTCGTATACAAACGCTGCTGCACACAACTTGGGTGAAGTTGTAAACTGGATGTGGTGAGGTCTCAGGGAATCACAAGGTCGGAGCACACAGAAATGGTTGCCACTCAGACCTGCGACCTTGGATGTGGCAGCATAGGTATAATGACCACAGCAAGCACCACTCTCTGGGAGAAAGCTGCCCCCGAATTCCTGCCCCGATTCCAGTTAGTCCAGTTTTCCTGGTATGTGTCTTGATCCGCCCCTCCACCCCCAGGCTCACCAGGCCCTGGAGGTCAGAAGAAGCAGGAGCTTGTATGTTCAGTTCGTGGTACTGGCATTGTAAGAGGAGCAGCTGGGTCCCCTGCAGCCTCTGTGTCACTGAGCCCCATCCGCATTGGTTTTTTCAGTCCGTAGTTGCTGCCATTAGGGCCTTTTTCCCCCAGCTCTGGGACCCTGTGCTGGGCGTCTGATGTGGTACTGGGACTCCTTGCTCCTCCAGGTGACCTCTGCAGAGATCATCTCCCTCTCAATTAGAAAAGTGGCCCAAATGGGTAGAGGACCATCACCTTCTGAGCCTCTTTACCTCCTACCAGTCTCAGTGTGCTTTCTACTTTACCTCTCTAGTCCTAAGACTTCCATTCAGCCAGCTTTCCAGGCTATCTGGCTGATGTTGTTGTGTATTTTAGTTGTAATTTTCATGTGGTTGTGGGAGGAAGCCAGTATAAGCCTTTACCAACACCACCATCTTGGAGCTCCTCTCTCGTAACTTTTCTGAATTCTATTCTTTCTTCTTTTATCTTCACCTGAATAGTGAGAATATTTTTCCATTGATTTTTTTCCTGAGGCAGAGAGAGAAACATCAATTGGTTGCCTCCCACTTGTGCCCCGAGTAGGAGGGGGGTTGAACCTGAAGCACACATACCTGCCTCTTACGGAGAATCAATTCCATGACCTCCCACTGTGCAAGCAGGCATTCTCAGCACTGAGCGACACGGGACAGGGCTATTTATTTATTCCTTAAATTATTTATCTATTTATTTTTAAACTACATTTTATTGATTTCAGAGAGGAAAAGAAGGACAGAGCAATAGAAACATGAATAATGAGGGAGAGTCATTGATCAGCTGCTTCCTGCACAGCCCCCCTGGAGATTGGGTCTGTAACCTGTGCATGTCTTCTGACAAGGAATGGAACTGTGATTTCCTAGGTCCGTGGTCGGCAAACTGCGGCTCGCGAGCCACATGAGGCTCTTTGGCCCCTTGAGTGTGGGAAACAGAGAAAAAGGGAAACATTGATCTGCTGTTTTTTCCCATGTAAGCATTTATTGGCTGTCCCCTACATGTACCCTGCAAACCCACAGCCGTGGTGCATCGGGACCACACACTCAACAAGAGAGCTACCTGGCCAGGGCTCTGAATTTGTTAATTAATTTCAGAAGCTCATATGGGATCTTGACCAATTTCTCTATGGAGGGTCATGTCGTCTTCTAACATCAACATCTCTTATGATGCTTTGTATTTCCTAGTGTCAGCTGTAATGTCTTATCTTTCATTTCTTTGAAGCATGTTTTTTTTTTGTCCCACAATTTACCTTTCACTAGGATCCCCTACGCCTCTGAAGCTAGTTTTTGTTTGTTGGTTTTTGTGTTTTGCTTTAGTCTAACTCAAGGGTAGCCAATATTTGTATTGTTTTATTTTGCCTTATCTCCCTTTTACTGATGCTTCTTCAAATATTTGAGGAAGAGTGATGGAGAGAGAGAAACATCAGTGTAAGGGAGAAACATCAATTGGCTGACTTGTGTACACAGGGTAACTACAAATGGAACCCATATACTGATATGTACCTTGACGTGGGAATTGAATATTCCACTCTTTGGTACACAGGACGATGCTCCAACGAACTGAGCAATACTGACCGAGGCATTCTATGTTTTTTGTTGGTTTTTAAATATATTTTATTTATTTATTACAGAGAGGAAGGGAGAGTGATAGAGACTTAGAAACATCAATGAGCGAGAAACATCGATCAGCTGCCTCCTGCACACCCCCTACTGGGGATGTGCCCGCAGCCAACGTACATGCCCTTGACCAGAATCCGCAGGTCTACGCTGTATCCACTGAGCCAAACCGGTTAGGGCCATTCTATGGTTTTGAAACACACAAATTTCCAGTATTTTTTGAAGACCGACCACTATGATTAATGATAGTGGAAGCACAGTGGCTGCTGGAGGTAACGGTGACCCTCCTTTTTGACTGTATCTTCCTATATGTTTGTTCACCCAGTCTATCCCGTCATTCTTTCCATATAGTTTTCCTTTATTTCTGTCTCTTATACTGTTTATCTTCATGGTACTCTTATCCCCATTTCCTATGGGGTTTTTGTTCATGGTTAGCTGTCTACTTACTCTAGGATAGGGCAGATACTCATAGCTCTGATCCTGCCGTCTTGCTGATGTCACTCCCATAGGTCTTTTTTTAAAAATATATTTTTATTGATTTCATAGAGGAAGGGAGAGGGAGAGAGGGATAGAAAAATCAATGATGAGAGAGAATAATTGATTGGCTGCCTCCTGCACACCCCCTCCTGGGGAGGAAGCCTGCAACCCAGGCACGTGTCCCTCCCAAGAATCGAACCTAGGAATCTTCAGTACACAGGCAGACACTCCATCCACTTAGCCAAGCCGGCTATGGCTCACATAGGTCTTTTGTCTGCGATCTCATTTGTCCTTTGTTCTACCACAGTGTTGACCATCCAACTTTGTTGTTTTTCTTTGCAGATTTGCATCATTTATCACGTGCAATGGCTCAAATGGGATTTAAGGGGAAGAATCATTTTTGCATCACAGAAGAAACATGACATTATTGATTTTTAAATGTATTTTATTGATGGTTTTACAGAGGGGAAGGGAGAGGGATAGAGAGTTAGAAACATCCACGAGAGGGAAACATCAATCAGCTGCCTCCTGCACACCCCCCACTGGGGATGTGCCCGCAACCAAGGTACATGCCCTTGACCAGAATCAAACCTGGGACCCTTCAGTTCAAAGGCCGATGCTCTATCCACTGAGCCAAACCCATTAGGGCAAAACAGGACTTTATTAATGACACAGTGGACCCACAGGCAGTCTTGCCTAGGAGAAGGGTCTTTGGGGAGGAATTCTCGGCTGGCCTTTGTTATAGTCATAGCTAGAAACCCAGTGTTTTCTTACGGTTGCCCATTCCTCACCCAATTAATGTGTGTTTGTGCTAATTGTTTTTATTTAGCCAACTTCTCAGTTCTAATAGTGATCCTTTCTTGGATTCCCAGCCCACAGATAACGTTCACCTCACTGGACTTTGCACGTCTGCCTCTTTTACTGGTCTCTCTTTACTGCAAGCCAACGTTGGTCCATGCCTGCAGCACCTTGAAGTGCACACATGTTATTATATGGATGTTGACCGTCATGTGCTCCAATACAATTAATTTCTATGACTTTGAGCAGCTTTAAATTATTCTACACAGACTCACATGGCCAGCATGTAAGGTCCAAATAGAAGCCATTGGTTCAGGAACTTCCTCTGTTCTTTGTATCCCGTCCTGTGCTTCTGTCCCTCTATTGGTTTGTTTTACATCATCGACTGACTTTTGGGGCCACGATATGTATAACAGCAATTTCCTCAGAGGATACCTCACTGGTCCTTAAAATCTTTCTATGGCATCATGCCTAGTCATGACAGATAAACATTCGTGGTGAAGATACTTTGTTTTGATGGGATCGACACATACTTCACCAGTGTTTCCTTTTGTTCAGGTTGCTGCTGTGGAGCAGAGAATGTGGAGGCAGCGACTGAACAGAAGGTTTCTGTAAGAGTGTCACAGGAAACGAATCCCACGTTAGCCTTGTCTTCCCAGAAGAGCCACCCCTGTGAGAGTTGTGGACTAGTCTTGGGAAACATTTTCCACGTGATGGAGCTGCAGGGAACACACCACGTACAGATACTGTTGAGGTGTGGGGCATGTGCAAAACGGTTTTATTTCACTGTAAAATTTCACCAGCAACATGTGAGAGAGAACACTTTCATTAGAGGTGTGGACAGGATCTCCCTTGCAAACAGCTGCAATTTCACTGTGTCCCAGAATCGTTTCTCATGCGTAGAGCTTGGGCAGGGTGTCCTTACTGAATCAGGACATCTCCACCTAAAGGGCAGGGACAGTCCAAATGCTATTTTGACACAGGGGATGACATTTCAAAGGACAAAAAATTATTACACCAGAAAAGAATGTAAGAAAAACATTACCTGCACCCACACTTTTATTCAGGAAAAAGATTTCAATGCTGGAAGTCAATGTTTTGTGTGCTCTGAATGTGGGAAATATTTTACCAAATTTTGTAGCTTGTATTATCTACAGCAAAGTCACACTGCAGAAAGGCCTTATCAGTGCAGTGAATATGGGAAAGCTTTTAGCAATAGTAACAGCCTAGGTGATCATGAAGCTTTGCACACTAATGAAAGGCCTTATGAGCGTAGTGATTGTGGAAAATCTTTTACCAATAGCAGTGCCCTCCATTATGATCAGAGAGTTCTCACAGCAGAAAGGCCTTATGAGTACAATGAGAGGGGGAAATCTTTTACCAGGAGCAATAACCTTCGTTGTCATCAGAACATTCACACTGGAGAAAAGCCTTATATATGTAGTGAATGTGGGAAAGCTTACACCAATAGCACTAAACTTTCTCGTCATCAGAGAGTGCACACTGGAGAGAGACCTTATCACTGCAGTGAATGTGGGAAATCTTTTATCACCAGCAGAAAACTTGGTCGTCATCAGATACTTCATACAGGAGAAAAGCCGTATAAATGCAGTGAATGTGGGAAATCTTTTGCCATTAAGTTTTTCCTTCACAGTCACCAGAGAGTTCACACAGGAGAAAAGCCTTATAAATGCAGTGAATGTGGGAAATCTTTTGCCACTAAGACCCACCTTCACAGTCATCAGAGAGTTCACACAGGAGAAAAGCCTTATAAATGCAGTGAATGTGGGAAATCTTTTGCCACTAAGGCCCACCTTCACAGACATCAGAGACGTCACACTGGAGAAAAGCCTTTTAAATGCACTGAATGTGGGAAGTCTTTTACCACTAAGTTTCAACTTCATTGTCATCAGAGAGTTCACACAGGAGAAAAGCCTTATAAATGCACTGAATGTGGGAAATCTTATACCACTAAGACTGACCTTTGTCGTCATCAGAGAGTTCATACAGGAGAAAAGCCTTATAAATGCAGTGAATGTGGGAAATCTTTTACCACTAAGGACCAGCTTCGCCCTCATCAGAGAGTTCACACTGGAGAAAAGCGTTATCACTGTAGTGAATGTGGAAAGTCTTTTATCACCAGCAGTAATCTTCTTCGTCATCAGAGAGTTCATACAGGAGAAAAGCCTTATAAATGCAGTGAATGTGGGAAATCTTTTACCACTAAGTTCCACCTTCATAGTCATCAGAGAGTTCACTCTGGAGAAAACCCTTATTAATGTAGTGAATGTGGGAAATATTGTTCAGGTCGCTATGGTCTCCAATATCATCTAAGTTCATACAAGAGAAAAGCCTTATCAATGCAGTGACTTTGGGAAATTTTATACCAGTAGCACCAACCTTTGCTGTCATCAGAGAGTTCATACAGGAGAAATTGCTTATAAATGCAGTGAATGTGACAGTCTTTTACAACTGACTCTCACCCTCATTGTCATCAGAGAGTTCACACAAGAGAAAGTCCTAATGAGTGTAATTAATATGAGATATCTTTCTGTCCAATTTGTAAATTCGCTTTGCACAAAAGAGTTCAAATGTGAAAAGTTTCTCAGATGTGTTGAAAATGTAGTTTCTTAGGACTTAACAATTGTATAAGAAAATATGTGAAGTCTCGTTAGTCTGAATTTTAGTTCATACATTTAATCACCTACATCATGTAACGTACCCGCAACTATTTTTGCCATTCTGTTTTCTTGTTTGTATGTTGTAACCGTATGTATCTATGTTGGACTGTTAAACATACAGAGCTGTCTTGCCAGGTCTGTGTGATTGCATATTTATGTTGCTGAAGGTATTTCACCTGAACCACTTATAAAGGCCCCTACAGATGGCCTCAATCACCATCCTTATGGGCCCAGGGAAGCTAACTCTGTTGTCTAATTTGTTGAAGAAAATGAGGAATACCTGGGCCCTTAGTGTTACTTGTTTCTCTGTCATGATTTGCCACATAAGACTGATTACTGTTGGCCCCAGTAAACATAATCTTGCAGAGGACCTGCCATTTTCAGGGACAGTCTTTCCGTAAATGCCATTGATGAACTTATTGAGTGCCTAAGTAACCAATGAAAGAAATGCCATTCTCACGGCTCTTTCTTTGCAAAATAATGAAGGCTTTTCCCTAAGACTTCTTTAATGTTGGGTGTTCAATTGACTCCATAGGTTAGTTTATAAGGAGATATGGGCTCTCCAAGCATGATGATGTGAAAAACTTATATGGGGTCTCAAACATTTTTGCCTTTGGGGGAATACTATGGTGCAGAAATTAGCTCAGCAGTTTTTTGCAAATTTACATTGCTGCCCATAATTTCCCAGGAAACACTGTAGTCTCTCTAGTCCTCATGTGAAGCTGGATGCATTGAGACACAGAGACCACTCTGAAGAGCGTGTAGCTGTGAGAACCTCAAGTATGTTTTCTAGCAGCTTGAATGCTTTTCTTGTTTTCAAGGAATGCTAAGACATTTGAAGGGAACCTCCTGTCCAGGTCTTGCAGAGGGCCATGTGCCATAATGCCTACAATTGCATGGGTGATAGGCACTGGTTTCAGGACCATTGCAGTGACCTAATTCCTGTTGGACCAGACTGCAGCCCATTAGATGGAATGGTCTTCATCTAAACCTCCACCAAGAAGTTTTTTTGAGGAAAAGACTATAGGAGCCATGTGTACACAGATCTGAGGGACATCTGGGTATGTTTATCTTCTGTGAAGCAGTCTTTGTCCTTGATTATAATCAAGATGTTTTGTGTCTTCCTGTAGCTTCTCAGATGTTCCCATCAGAGCCATTGGTGCTCTGACAGCAAAACTAAGAGGAAAACAAAGGGTGTCTTGAATTCAGGGATGTGGCTTCCGTGAGCCAGCCAGCATTTTTGGTTTGGTTCTGTGGTCGGCAAACTGCGGCTCTTTGGCCCCTTGAGTGTGACTGTTCCGCAAAATACCATGTACGGGCGTGCGTGTACAGTGCGATTGAAACTTTGCGGCCCATGCACGGAAGACAGCTTTTGGCCTGGGCGAGTCTGTTTTGAAGAAGTACTGTTGATATTTGGCTCTGTTGACTACTGGGTTTGCCGACCACTGGTTTGTGTGAAAGTACTTCGTTGTTTGTTGCATTTTCTGTCACTGAAATGAGACTTGCCCAGAAGGCATAAGAATGTGGATTGAATATAGAGTTGAAAAACCTGTTGGTACACAATAGGTGAATGTACATTTCTTTTTATCTTTAGCCATTTTATAACAGCGGTAATGCGTAAATTATATGTGTTAAGGATACTGTTTTATAAATCTTGACATGTGCGTGAAACTGAAACCATCATCTACTTATATAAAAACCATGGGTGGTGTTTATCATGACCATCAGAATCCCGACCAAGCAGAAGGAAGTCAGTCCTGCAGGGGTTGTCTTAGCAATGGCTGCTCCCTCCCCCCAGCTGTTTCCCAGAGCTGTTTCCGGTGAGGGCGGGGTCTGAGGCAGGAACCCGCCCACGGAGCATGGACCCACTAAATCCTGGGTCGCTTTGCCAAGGGCTGCGCCCTCCTGAAGCTGTTTGGGTGCAACATCAAGCCAGAAGCTTGACCAAGCGGAAGGAAGTTAGTCCTGCAGGGGTTGTTTTGGCAACGGCTGCGCCCTCCTTCAAGCTGTTTCCTGGAGCTATTTCCAGTGAGGGCGGTGTTTGAGGCAGGAACCCGCCCTCGGAGCGTGGACCCACTGAATCCTGGGTCGTTTTGCCAAGGTCTGCACCCTTGCCAGCTGTTTCCCGTGTGGCCTGAGGGAAGAACCCACCCTCAGAGCACCAGGAGCACCCAGAAGCAGTCAGTCCTGGATTGCTGAAGTGGAGACCACAGCATGGTAGAACTCTGGGTCTGGCTTAATCGGGGGTATGACTGACCTTCAAACCAGACCCTGACAGTAGAAAGGAGGGAGCCCCCATTCCTCACAGAATCCGCTCTTGGATAGCTTGCTGTCAGTGGCCTGCCAGCCATGAAGCCCGTTCTCCTGCATCCCAGACCTTGACAGGAGAGAGGAGGGAGCCACTTTCCTCATGGAATTGACAGGTGGCCAGTTTGCTAATTAATTCCCTTTTTTAAAAATATATATTTTATTGATTTTTTTACAGAGAGGATGGGAGAGGGATAGAGAGTTAGAAACTTTGATGAGAGAAAAACATCGATCAGTTGCCTCCTGCACACTCCCCACTGGGAATGTACCCGCAACCAAGGTACATGCCCTTGACCGGAATGGAACCCTGGACCCTTGAGTCCGTAGGCCGATGCTCTATCCACTGAGCCAAACCGGTTAGTGCAATTAATTCCCTTTTAATGTGCATGAATTTCGTGCACTGGGCCACTAGTTCTACTCATAATACTGATCATATCTATGACTGTGTAGTTGTTTCATGACCTCGTTTAATCTGTCCCTGTTCTTCACAGCTTTCCTGGTAACCAGGAATTTACATTCCATTTTAGTACTTATCTTCGCTTCTTCTAAGTATTTTCCTGCTTTAATTTATATTTCATAAATTCTTTGACATTTATTAAAGATACATTAGTAAGTCATCTTTTTTATAAATATTCTTGTTGTTGTTGTTGTTGTTATTCCTCACCCGAGGATATTTCTTCATTGATTTTTTTGGAGAGTGGAAGAGAGAGGGAAAGACAGAAACATCGATGTGAAAGAAACACATCTATTGGTTGCCTCCTGCATGAGCCTTGACTAGAGCCCGGGCTGGGAAGGCGTCTTGAACCAAGGTACATGCCTTTGACTAGAATCGAATCTGGACCCTTCGGTCTGCAGGCCTATGCTCTATCCAGAGACAAACGGACTAGGGCCCTCGTAGATATTCTTATCTTTGAATATATCACCATCATGTGTCCATTTTAATAAATATTTGGTTATTTCTAATAAAGCTGGTACAAACATTTTTGTATAATTCTTCATATGGATATAAGTGTTATTTACCTTTGTCAGTCGGACATCTTCCCAGGGCTTCAGGGTGCAAAAGGCCACAACCCAGGCTGTAGGATGCCCCCTGTGTGCTGGAATGTTGTGGACCAGGCCTGTAGTTTAAAGATATTCTGTAATTTTGTGATTCTACCTCACTGTTGTTTGATTGTATTTTTTGTAAGAATTTTTGGTGAGCCTTTTCTCAAAAGTCTTATGTGGTTTGTTTCTTTTTTTGTATTAGAATAATACTTGTTAATATTTTTTAAATAAATATTTTAATTGATTTTAACAAACATTTTCATTGCTTTCATAGAACAAGGGGGAGGGAGCAAGAGATAGGAACACGATTGTTGAGAAGACAGCTGTCATGGCTCAGTGGTTCCATATGGACCCATGAATGAGGAGGTCAGGGTTCCATTCACAGTCAGGGAGGATGCCTGCATCCTGGCTTCATCCCCAGTGTGGGGCATGCAGGAGGCAGCTGATCAATGATTCTCTCTCAGCATTGATTTTTCTCAGTCTCGGTCTCCTTGCAACTCCAGCCTCTCCCTGTTGAGACATTCTCAGGTAGGCACTTCTCACTCCCCTCATGCCCACAAGCACCTTTGTCTTTGGGTGCATTTTAATAAGAAATGGGACCTACAAGAAGCCACTGACTCTGCTGCAGGGAGGCAGGTGCTGTGGGCACTCAGGTGTCATTGTGGTGGGCCCCACCTGGGAATGTCCAGCAGACTCACTAGAGCTCCCTGAGTCTCAGGTGGCTGAATGTGACATGCAGATGATTGATGGCGCTTACTCTGGCCTTCCCAGATCAATACAAGGAACAAGGTGAGTACTTGTTGCCAGGATTCCAGGGTTAGATTTTTGAGCATTTTCTCTCTTAATTCTCACAACAACCTGGACAACTAGAAACTCATATCATATTGCTGAAAAACATCAGTATCTGAGAAATGAAGTCAGCTCTCCAAATTTACACCACAGACAAGTGTCAGATTCAAGGGCTGGTT